AATGCCGAGACTGTTCTAACAGCCCATCCAGTCCTAGATCACCATCTGGAACCCTCCAATCCCCCAGTTTGAACACACTCTCAGAGCCATTTACATCTCAGCTGCACCCTTGGGTGGGCAAGAGGCAGCCCCAAGTTCTTGGAGCCCACCCTGAAGATCACTGGGGTCAAGCAGGAGGCCAGAGTGCCCCGGGACAATTACCCCAACACAGAAACCCACTGTTACTCAGCAGCTGGAAGTATTCTGTAATTTTTAAACATTCATATGCTTTTAGTGTGTTTCATTTGCTCCTAATATTTTTCCTTAATTGGAGATGAAATTATTTATATAAAATATGGTGTAATACTACTTCAAAGATGCTAATGAGATTTAACCTGTCAAATAATGAAAAATATTTAAGAACTTTACATTAGGATAAAAAAAGATGGACCCTATTTCTTCTTAGTCATTATTAAGAATTGGCACAGAGAATGAAATCAGAAATGAGATCATCTTGCAGTGGCTTTGCCATCAAAGAAAGCTGAACTTTGCAAATATGACTAAAACACTGCGGATCTCTATAACACACTGCGCTACATGAAATACTGTGTTCTATTTACCTGTAATGAAGACTCTGTCTTGATTTCCTTGTGTGTTTCTCTCACAGTATAATGAGAATGATTTATGGATTATTTTCACTCTTGTAAACTCTCCCTCAGGAGATGACAAACAATTGAGTATCCCCAAAGCATTTAGAGAACATAACAAAATGCCTTATGGATGTCTAATATTTGTTAAAGACAATTTTTATTCACTTCTGTATTAGGGTTCTCCAGAGAAATAGAACCAATTGGATTGATAAATAGGTAGACACAGTTATAAACAGAAAGACACATAGATAGAACAGATGTATTATGAGGAATGATTTCTATAGGTAGGCTGAGAAGTCCCATGGATTGCAAGCTACGAGTTTCTGATCCAGGAATCCTAGTAGTATTGCTCTAGTCCAACCCTGAAGGCTTTAGAACTCGGGCACCCAAAGGAACAGAGTTACAAATGATCTACAATCTGGGAGGTCAATATCTGGTGGCAGGAAAAGATGGATGTTCCAGCCCAAGCAGAGACAAATACATCCTTCCTCTACCAGTTTGTTCTATTCAGAGTTTTAATGGATTGATTTAATATCCACCCCCATTGGGAAGACAATCTTCTTCCCTCAGTTAACAATTCAAATTCTAATTTCCTTCAGAAACACCTTCACAGACATTGGAAACTCTTTCACCCAGTTTAGTTGAGTTATGAAATTAACCATTAAAAGTCCGCCTCTTGTCAACTTGTCATGCATATGCACCTTCTAAGCTATATTTAATTTTATAATAAATACAAGAGCAGTAT